AGTAGGAAGAGATTAAATTAAGCAATGAAAAGAATGAATAGTTAACCATTGCCCCTGTTGTCATCTTTTACTAGGCCACCGCTACCTGCATGCCCTGCGTAATACGGTAACGGTAAACTCGTACCTAGGTCTTTTCGCGCTGTACAATTATTTTTGGTTTACATATAATAGAGTGGGCTACCCTAGGGGAAATGGGAGGTGGCCACTTAATAGGGGTTGGCCGCTTAATAGAGGTTGGTGTACCTTGAATATTTTTTCGCTATCGGGTTTTAAATTTCTTAGTGAACATGGAGTCAATTGAAGGCAACCATTATAGACGTCATCCTCGGAGACCCAGGGGCAGTTATTTGGAGCGGGGAAAAGTCCAAACGAGTGAGAAAAAAGTTCGGGCGAAGACCCGTTTAGACTTTTTTCCCGCCCCTTCTAACTACCCCTGGGTCTCCGAGAATGACGCCTATCATGATTGTATTGAATTGACTCCATGTTTACTAAGAAATTTAGCTAAATTTATAACCCGATAGTGAAAAAATATTCAAGGTACACAATTAAACATTGGACAAAAATATTTGAGTGTTTTAAAGACGGAAGAATGATGTGGTTTTGCATGCGAGGCTCTCAAACTTGTTTAATAAAATGGTGCGTCAAATGACGATTTTAACGGAATTTGGTAATTTGCATATTTCTTTAAGATAAAAGGATGTTTTGCCAAAAAAAACTATCCAGTAGTTTTTGTCATGCCCTAGCCTATCTACCATAGGAATATGAGCGAAATCGACTTTTCGACCCTTGCCGCGAAACTAAGAATTTGTCTGATTTTTACAGGCAGGCACTCTTAATTAGGAAAAATGGGGACATTGTACCCCCGACCAAATGTGGTGGCGTTACCTTTGGGGTTTTAAGGTTATTATGTAAACAACAGATTGAAAGATACATGTACATAAGATAACACTATTTACACCACACTAGAACCAAAAATAAACCTTATCCGAAATTGCGAGTGGCAAGGCTGACCATAGAATGTCACAAGTTTCTCAACCGTCTCTTTTTACAAACGCACTAACCATGAGTCGCTAGCACCCAGTTCTCAGTTCCGTGTCGGCAAAATATTAATTTATGTCAATACTGATTATCACAAGTTACATATTGTAAAGTATTGACGATACCAAAGAGCGAACGACTGACTCCAAGAGGGTCTCAATGGGGTTAACGGTTAGTCGTAAAACGAGCCAAAAATTTAACCATTAGGCATAAAAATTTGTAAATTTTAACCGTTAGCCGCTAAAAAATGTTAACCCTAAAAACATTTTTGCCACGACAGTGAAAGTCTCAAGATCTCTTGACACGGCTTTTTTGCGTCTTGTCTCGTGACTTGTAAGCGATATTAGTCTGTAATTCTTATAACAATACCGTTCTCCGTCCTGGAGTGGTCCTTTAAGAATGTTTTACAGTAATCAAAATAAATTTTTAACTGTTTTAAACAATGAAAGTTAATTTATAAATTTTTAAAACAAAGATAATTAATTTCTAAGATTTCTGCTGACCGCAAGGAAAATAAATTAATCGTTTGCAGCAAAAAAGCCAAAATATTAACCGTTAGCCGTAAAAGTCAACACACCATTGAGACCCTCCCCCAGGCATGTCATTCACAACATCCTTAAAACAGCGCCGTGTAAATTCTTGGTAGATCAATTAATTCAGAAAAATTGTAGAGTTGATTTAGATGACCTAAAAGAGCAGATGTTGCCAACGGTCAAACATTTGGTGGCAACAGCTCAATAATCAATTTCGCCTACGTTCTAAACTTAATGTGCATTAAATCACGATATACCTTGTTTAGCTGAATACCGATTTATTTTGGAGAAAATCGATTGCAAGGTATTCCTTTCTCCCAGGAACTGTTCAAATCTCTCGCGTGGAGTATGACCTAAAACAAAGGTGCTAAAATACAAAGTTTTATACAAAAAACATGTGACATGTTACATTGATACAGATAGGAATATAAAAATATAACTCGGCACTGACTGAGGCTAGGAATCTGGCTTCAAGGATAACTTATGAGAAGAGATGCTCTATCAGCAAGAACACGGAGAAAATAATAATAAAGAGGTCAGGTTCGAGACTGCTGTCATTAATGAAATTTATATCTGAAACTGCAAGCTACACTGAATTATACTTACTGTGTTTTCCAAATGGCAGAAGAGTTAGAACTTGATTTTCTAGAAGCAGGTTTGAGAGGAAGCAAACTAGCTACTTTCAACCACTTAGGCGTCGGTTGCTGTTGTTTCCTTCACTAAAATTCTCAGTCAAATTTACTTGGTATATATGGAAGCCGTTCAAGCTGTGAGGGATTAAAACTACGAGAGACAACCTACACCGCGGGTTTACTATACAGGTCCAATCCGGTTTAGCATGTTTCTCACAAGCCGCAGGGAGGAACTAAAATTAATGTTTACTGCTGTGTTCCTGACATTAAACTAAAAAAAACTCAGGAAAACGTCGGCATGTGATTGGCTGCTAATTATTCACCACAGATCTAAAGGTACTTGTTTTCAGAATCCGCAGCAGGGCCAATCAATTATAAAAACTTTGGCAAACACTTCAAGTGCCGTGTTATGTCAGCTAGTTTACGTATCTTAATTAAGTGGATCGAGAAATAAGTTGCATATGATCAGTTAGCGCTGGGTAGGTGAAATATCATCACTTTTATACATAAAATGTAATATTGAGTTTTCTAAGTTCAACCTGTTTGACTCAAATTTTTTTCAGCGAAAAGCTGCTTCCAGTGATTTCTTGAGTAATTTGTTATCCGTTTCTGGTGATTTGCTTCTTTTTAATTTGGGAGTGAAATAAGTTTCCTAGTCTTAGAAAAACCGCCTTTGTTAAATAATGGCCAGTGAAAGCGTGAGTGACTGTCAATTTCCATCAAAATCAAAAAAGAAATACAGAAACATAATTACTTTGTTTACTTTTAAGAAAATATCTACTCGTAGGATTAGCTTCATTCGTGACTCAAGACACGCATGGTGGTCGACTTTTCATAGTGCGTCAAACTAAAAATCAAACATATCATTTTATTTTAATGACAAAGAACATTAAGAGGAATCCACTCTAGATCTCTACTGAGGAACTGAATTGCCTTTTGTTGTTCTTTTAGTTTACGATCATAGCAGTTTTTTAAAATGCCTACTGCTTTTCAATGCGGTAACGGTTTGAGGCCATAAAAATATAGCTCGTTGTTGTTGAATCGCAAGGCTTGCTGTTTATACACCTTACGCCAGCTTCTTTATACACCGCAAACTTAGCTGTTCATACACCTCGTGCTTTAATACACCTTACGCCTTGCTGCCAATAAACCTTTTGTTTCGCTGTTTTAAGACCTCATGCTTAGCTGTTCATACACTCGTGCTTAGCTGTCAATACAACTTATGTCTAACTATTCATACACACTGTGCTTAGTTATCCGTACATCTAATGCTTAGCTGTTAATACCCATTATGCCTTGCTGCTAATAAACCTTTTGTTTGGCTGTTTAAAGACCTCATGCTTAGCTGTTCATACACTGGAGCTTAGCTGTCAATACGACTTATGTCTAGCTATTCATACACACTGTGCTTAGCTATCCGTACATCTCATGCTTAGCTGTTAATACCCCTTATGCCTTGCTGCTAATGAACCTTATGTTTCGCTGTTTTAAGACCTCATGCTTAGCTGTTCATACAACTTATGTCTAGCTATTCATACACACTATGCTTAGCTATCCGTACATCTTATGCTAAGCTGTTAATACCCCTTATACCTTGCTGCTAATAAACCTTATGTTTCGCTGTTTAAAAACCTCATGCTTAGCTGTCAATACGACTTATGTCTAGCTATTCACACACACTGTGCTTAGCTCTCCGTAAATCTAATGCTTAGCTGTTAATACACCCAATGCTTAGCTGTTAATACATCTTACGCCTGGCTGCCAATAAACCTAATGTTTTCTGTTTAAAGACCTTATGCTTAGCTGGTAATACACCTAATGCCTAGTTTCGTATAAATCTTAATTTAAATTATTTAAAAACCTCATGCTTAGCTGTTTATACACCTCAGGCTTAAGGTGATTCCTCAGAATTGTATTGCGGATTCCTAATGCGCACGTTTTGTTTTTGCTTCATTAGCGCGCGCACCTTTAGAACATCAAGAGATTTCCTTTAAGCTAAGCTCGAAAGCTCGTTTTCTCTTAAAAGAGCATGGCGACTTATACTTTTTATTACTTAATTTTGGTGCACAAATTATCCCCTTTAATTTGAAAAATTAAACAAAAAATTGTTCAGAGGGAAAATAAGATATAGTTGAAAGCGTGCACAAAACCGTTCATCGGGGATGCAAACTATAACAATGATTCGTTTAAGCTTGTCTTATTGTTCCATAAGCTATATATAGAATGATTCCTTATGCTCGAGAATTTCTACCTCATGATCAGGTTTTTGTCAAGTATTAAAACCTTTGCTTTCAGCTAGGGATGAATAACGCACGTGATTAGGCATAAAGGGGTAACATTTGCCAATCATATCTCTTGTGCGAGTATGGTGACCAATCTTTTTATTGGGAACATTCGGGGGAATTTTCAAAAAAATCGTCCAAGTTATTTCTGAAGAATTACCTTGACTGTTTATATACGTAACGGCTCATGTATAGTTGCTCATATTTTCATTCTTAGCTGGTTATACACCTGATGCTTACACCAGTCTAACCAACTTATACAGTCTATGTTAAGCTGTTTTTACACCTTAGCTGTGCTTTCACCCAATACTTCCACGGTTAGCTTACTCTGAAATTCCTGTATTTGAGTACTTATACTGACTTTAATCCACTGCTTCAAACTATGACTTATTATGCTTCCTGTTAGCTGTGATTTTCTTGGGGCGCTATGCAGGCATGCTTATCTTGCGTCGTGCTTTTAAGACGCAATATTTAGGCAAGGATACACGAAGTCTGTCAGAAAAAAGACCGTTGAATATGTGAAATTATATCGCACATTGCGAACAATTCCACACCTGCAATGATATGTCAATGACTTGTGACTTGAGGACATGAAATTTAAAATGTCCGGAGATAAATTAATGTTTTCAAAGGTAATTTATGCGCCGGATGAGCGTTTCCTGTAGATAATAATGGATCACTTTTATCGCTCACCCAATTTAAGTTGATTCTTTTTTTCCCTCCGGCACTAGAGGCTAGTAAACCTCACTGCCTGTCTCCAATCAGCTTATATTGATATTATCTTATGGAAGTTCACATTAATCAGTCTTCGAACACCAATCAATCAAGTTCCTTAAATCATTTACCGCCAATAAATTGTTTCTTAGAAATAATCCTCAATATCCTTTGACCTTTCCTGAATAAAATGGAAGGTCCGTGTTGATATTCCTAAGAGAAACGTGACTCATTGCAGTTAATTGAGGACGGTAAAGGGGCTCAAGATCACGTTTCACGGAAAATAAATTGGTCCTTTCACAATTCATGGGAAATAAAATCGGCATTTCACGTTTCCCGAAAAAAAGGCATATTTTGACGCGAACTAACGTAACTTACGATATTTGAAAGTTGCACCCAAGCACCGCCTTGTTAGATGTCTTTATCATTCGTCCGCTTCTTGTTCTGCGCGCAGCAAAAAGAAATCCGAGCAAGAACCCGAAGGGGGATGATTGTCCTGTCAGACACAGCCAGAATCATGGTTCACGAGGAATTTAATACTTCTTTTTCATTTCACGGAGAATTATTTTGGAAAATCACGGTTCACGGCTTCTAATGAAATCACAATTCATGAGGAAAAAAACAAGCCATTTCACATTTCACGAGAAAAAAATTAGGCCATTCACGGATCACGAAAATACCCTTTACCAACCTCTTTATTTGCAGTGTTCGTAAAATGACTTAATTTTTAGAGGCTACAAATCTAGCGACTTGTTTTCAACAGGACTTGGTGTTTACTTGAGTTTCTTTCAGTTATTCGATCTCTGTGTCCTTTGCTGGGTAAAGTTTTACTTATTTTATACAAATTTCTGTTTTAAATCCTTAAACATGAGCTTTAGACGTATGCGAGACTCGGCACACCGTGAGTTGGCCCGGGATAGCGAGCCAAAGTGTTTCAGTATGAGAAAAAAGTTGTCTCGCCTGCTTGGGCTAATCTACCTGCTGAGGCTAGACAACTCGTGAAGCCCAGTTGTCTTGCTCCTAAGGACTCGTGATCTTCATTTTAAAGGTTGGCTGAATTTTTCCAAGAAATAAGTAAAACATAAGCTTGATGAGAGCAACTCAGGTGAGGGTTGTCACGGCTACCCAAGACCATATAAACAGGCCTAAACGAGTAAATTGTTTAAAGAACTATGAATAGCGTTAAAGCTTGAAAGTTTAAAAACAGTGAGACGCCATTAACGATGCAACGCGTCGGAGGCCTCATTGTCCCCGCGCTTACCGTTCCATTAAAGACGATCTAATTTTATGAGCAACCTCAAAAGCTACTGAACAAAACCGTCTATAAAAGGAATTAGAACTTAGATATTTTAAACCCAGCATGCAAACAGTGACAAAAATAAAACGTGTTATCTTGCTAAACAGAGAAATATTTGACCAATGTCAATCGAAAAAGCACTGATACCCAAGCTAGGCAGAGTATCTGAGTTGTCAGTTATCAAAGTCTCTGAATGGGTTTGACAGAGCGAACACTCGACTGAATACGTTGGGTCATACCTTAAAGGAAATCAAATAGGTGATTTGCCTTAAATTAGTATTTTAAAATAACGACTCGTAAAACTCAAGACATCCTGCAAGATATTTTCCACGTCAAAAATCGAGTGTTTGGACTATCATTGCAATCACGCAATTCCCCTAAATTCGTAAGTAAAATTGTTTGATAGATCAAATTTTGTGTTCTACTGCACAAAACCAGAATCACTTGTTTCACATAATTTAGCGAATATCAGTAAGAGTTTTTGTTTTGCCGTATAATATTGAAAATCGACAATTTTTTACAAATTATTTAACATGGTAGTGTCACACGAACGTAGAACTTCGTCTTGGAGCGTCCGTTTCAACACACAACTCAGAGAAGTGCTGGCAAGAGACGCAAAAGCTGCTATTGAGTATGGTGTTCCTACTACAAATTTGTGTATAATTACCAAAATACACAGAAAATAATATGTATAATTTTACCTGAAGATCAAATTCTGTCAGTCGATTGTTCTAAGATAATGTCAGCGTTAGTGAAAACGTCTTCTATATAAAGCATAAAGTTTGTTGGAGGCTTGCCTTCTTTTTATAGACTACATCAATTCATTATATTTCGTCTGCTTTTGGTATTACAAATCCTTGTTTACAACACTGAGCGCCTTCATACCTCGTCGCCATTTTGGCTACTGCAAGCATTCTTTAATAATGATTAAGATTGCCATCAAAATATTGCTGCCTGCTATTCGCTGGTAATGCGTTTGTTTACGTCATCGATGCACAGCTGCTCATCGTTACATCTACAGTATATTTCAAATTCAGATTCGTTTAAGTGAACACAAATAGAACACATGGCGTTAGCAAAGATGTCTACATACAAGACGCACAAATTATTTTCCATATCGCAATTAGACCGCTAAACGAGCAAGCTATAGTCTCAAACCATTGTGTTCTCTCCGGCAAGCTTTCACAACAGGAAATCATTGAATTACATGGGCTGACTGTTCAGCAGTGTACAAATTAAGGATAATACTGATGTTTTCATTAAACATAATTTTATTAATTTGCAACCTGGTCACGTTTCAACTCTAACTAAAATAATACAAAATAATATTCTATACTGGACTGATTTTTGATTCTGATTCTGCCAAACGACTTTCTGAATCTAACTGAACCAATGGCGGGAGCGAGGTAGAATATTTTTCTTTCACGACGTATTGCATGCGTAGCTCTAAAAGGCCTTTTATCCTATTAGAGTTAGGAGAGCTAATTGAACCGATAGAAGACGGCAAATTTAGGCTTTTCGCATTAAAGTGACGCACTACTTACCTAATAATGCAAACCAATCTTAATGCATACAACACAGTCTCATGAATCAGCAGGCATATTACTGATACTCTTTATTCCCGCAGTGACATCGTTTTTAATAGTATTCAAAAAATGAAATTTATTCAACCAAGCGATTTTCAGCGGTTTAATTTTTAGTTCTTTTAGTGTCGCAATCAAGGGCTAATCTAACTTGAGTTTAAAAGTGTTGTACCATGGAAAATGATTCTTCTCTTAGTAGATTTTCTTCTATGTCCAAGCCAGAAGCTAAATATCCCCATTCATAAAATCCCTTGGACCTAGGGATGGTCGGTGGAGCCGAGGGAAAGTCGAAACGACTGGAAAAATTGAAGAAGAAAAAAATGGAGAGGAAGCAAGGACTTCAAAATAGGGTATGGCATTCGATCTTCCTACTTTTTTTGTCCTTGAGAGGAATTGTCACCGAAACGCGAACAAGCAAAACAGATATGGTGAACGATCTACCTTTGTATAGATTTTGCATTAGCACAAACGAAACGGACTTAGACCTGCTGGACGCCGATTGGTCAGAATACAAACGATTTTCTCCGTTCAGTCAGGAGGCAGCTTTCATGGAGCCATTTGGGGCTCCTCTTTTTCTCTCCAACTTCTTCTTGCCCAATACTTTCTCCTGCATTTCGACATATTCCCGCCCCGACAGGTTGCCTTTGTGTGTCCCAAAATGAAAATAAACTAAAATAAACTAAAAGAAACTAAAATAAACTAAAATAAACTAAAATAAGCTAAAATAAACTAAAATAAACTAAACTAAAATAAAATAAATAAAATAAAATAAAATAAAATAAATTAAAATAAAATAAAATAAAATAAAATAAACTAAAGTAAAATAAAATAAAATAAAATAATAAAAAAATAAAATGAAATAAAGAATGTAAATTGTAGCGGCATAATTAATAATGTTTCAAGCTGTCAAATTTAGGCAAAGCCGAGAAATCTATCGATGTACGAGATAAGGAAAACGATGTACGAGAAATCGACATGCATCTGCCCGAGGTTCTCCACCCGATCGATCCAATCGGACTTTGCGCCTGCGCTCACCTCGCACAGCGCCTTTGTATAAGAAACGTTTCTAATCTCTGCGGAGGAGAGAGAACAGACCCTACTTTGGATACATGTAATGTGTTGCTGGGTGATCTCCATGTGTTTGAGCAAATTTCCGACTGTGCACTACCCCCAGATATTTGCACAGCAGATACTGGAAAAGCTTGAGGGACAAGAGAACATCTAGTAGAGGGGCAGGGGAAACGTTTTTAATCGAGGTTTTATTTAAGGTGTAAGCTAAGAGAACACCCCATTAAACCTAGCTCAATTTTTAATTTGTCACTTTCAATGTTTCTTTCTTTTAAGAAAGAAAATGTTTTACTATATAGCGCGCGCTGGTCCTACCTAATTCCTATTGAGTCATCATGGTAGAAATCTCTTTATAATATAGATAGCACCCTGCGCGCGCTCTGATTGGTCAAAAACATGTTTTATCAGAGTATAAAATATAGAAAAAGCGTGTTTTATGTTTTTCGCTACATTACCTCTATATCATAGAGCAAGTGAAGAAGCCTAAGCCGTGTATTACACTGCGATAAAACACTCCGGCCATTTGAGAACACTCGAGAAATGTAGAAAACACTCGCCTGCGGCTCGTGTTTTCTACATTTCCGTTGTGCTCTAATATGCCCGTCGTGTTTTATCACAATGTAATACACGGCTTCGGCTTCTTTATTTGTTAAATATAAGCACGGCCGTGCGTATATAACATGACGTGTGCAGTTTCATTTTAGCTGCAAAATTTCCGTCGAGTTTAGCTGCGAGTTCCTTTTGTTAAAGTTTCGGCAAATAATCCAAACACTACTTCCTTTGACTTTCGCAATTATTTACCATTTTGACTGATGTCTTTTTGTGCCCTGGCTGCATCCTCCTTGAATCGATCATAACTAAGATTCTCTTGTCTCCTTGGCCGTCCACATGCTCACAACATTATGAAAAACCTGAGAGAGAAACAAAGCAGGTGACAAAATAAAAATGTTCTAAAAATGTATCACTGTATTTTCTTGAAATAACTTTAGATGATAAGCAAGACATTAATGCTGTTCAAGATAAACCTACCTGTCTTACATCTTGGTTTGCACCAATTATATTCTGGTCCATGGCCTGAGGTGGAGTCTTGAGCCCTTCCTTGAATGCAATGCTCATCGATCATAGCATCCTTAAAGGTAAAACAATTAAACTGTTTTTAAAAACTATAAATATTTTTTAGAGAATAATTTCAGTCTGTACTCAGAACGCAATTTAAAATCTTAAATGTGAGATATTTCGTTTGGACCTACCAAACTTCGTCAGCCACAATACAAATTTGAATGTTAAGAAGGATTATATGTTTATCATGGTCTCGAGGTGGCTAAGATGGTGTCATAGATGCTAGTTAATTCGAAGCCATTGTCTGTTCGAAGAGGGCTTACGTAATCTGATCTCGATTGCCTCCCTTACGCGGTGTTTGAACGTGTTGCTTTCTGTGGTAACGACTTTTGTTTTGCTACAATCCACTGAATGTCCCGTGAGTTGGTAACGTTCATGAACAGCTGAAGAATTCCTTGAAAGATGTGTTTTTATAGTTTTTAAAATCATGATTCCAGAGCAAGAAAACAATATCTTTGATTCAATTAAACTGTTGTCATCTTGTGAGTGATGAGAAGCATAAGTGAGAGATAAAAAGTGCAATCACAATTTCAACCTGTTTTATTTTTCTCCAGATACATATTATAGACAAACGGGGGGGGGGGGGGGGGTGGGGGAGGGGAGATAAGAAGAAAGGACAAAAAAGAGAGAGGAAGGGATTAGGTGCACAAGGTGAATGTTTATGAAGTCTCTTGTAATTTTTTTAATCGTTTCAGCCAGAGATCGTTTTTAATTTTTTACCAAATTAGATGTACAGTTGATGAACAAATAAACAGGCCTTTTTCTTTCCAGGTGATGGCCTTTTTACCTCAAATTGTGGGGTAGATTAGTCTTCCTTTCGTTTCTTGGATGGCTGTTCTGATCCTCTACCATTCAGATTTTCATTTTCCTTCTGTCTGTTCTCTTTTCCAGGTAGTGACTCCTCGTCTTCATTTGCGAGTGCTCCCCCATTTTCTTCTGGCTCATCAGATCTCTATGAGGAGAAAAAGAAAAATCTTATAAGTTCCTTTCCAGATGACTGAATGATAAGACACCACGTGTACATTTTCATGGCCACTGACTATTGACTTGCAAAAGATAAACAGCTGACAACCCAATGTCAGCTTCAAAAAATTGCTCGTGGTAGCCACAATCTTATCTCTTACTTACACTGTATCACTCATTCAGTTATTTATCAGAATTTAAGCAAACCATTAAGCATTAAGCATTTAAGCAAAACATTACCATCTCTATATAGCTCAGTCAATTGTTGTGTCAGACAAAGAATTTTGTGGTGAACTACATGTATAACTATGTAATATTCATTGTAGTTTTAGTAAGATCTAGTATCTTATATTATATTTTTTGCTCAGAGACATTTTAGTTCAATAGTGCACCTAACCACTCATATGTTTTTTGCTGAAACGAATCCACTTGTTATTCGAAGAATTTGGGCGAAGAAATGTTTGAATTTGCTTGGATCCTCGAAAATGGAAAACAAAACTAACCGTTCCAAGATCCAAGATATTTTTGGGACTGAAACGTCCAATGTTTGTTTCGAAAACATTTCATTTTCGTCACTGGAGTCAGGGTTAAGTTTCGATTCAGGAGACTCCGAAATAAACTTGGATTGAGCTCGTTCCACAACTGTGAACTCACTGCTTTCAAGAGCTTCGAGAGCAATTTGCAATATTTCAGTGACGACGGGGAAGACTTCTTTGCGGGCGAGCTGCTTGTCTATTAGGAATGGAAAGTAATATACTAAGTGGAGGAGCAGACAAACAAAAAGCAGGAAAGATTACTCGAGAAGTGCTTTGAGTCAGTTGGATGGTAATTTAGTCACCTAAACACGAGATTCCCATGCACGGTGCTTATAGCCCGTTTACATTCGTCCTTAGCGAGAATGTATTTCGTCAAGGTGTGGTTGTTCTAGTAAATCCAGCTTGTGTTTTATTTTCTGCAATCAACTCAATGGATGTAAAGCTTGTTTTGACTCAGTTCTATTTAAGAATTGGTCTGGCCTATACTTATACTGTGATTATAGAGAGCTCAAACAAAAAACTGGCTTCGATCGATTGAAAAAATCGTAGAATTGTTTGGACTTCAGTTGAAGCTGCGGGAAGCAAGTCGGAAGGAAACATTTCATGCAGTTATCGATTTCACATTGTCACACATTTTAAGTCGTAACTCCAAATAACAAATGTAAATTTTTCTCAAAGTTCGTAGTGAAATTCGTCGGATAAGCGAAAAGGATGGTTTCCTTAAGCGGTCCGCAGATAATGTCATGCGGTCATATTTTCGACACTACTCAGTATTGCACAGAATGTTTGTTGCACTGCTGATTTCCAAACCTTTGAAAAACTCTGTGAGTCTAACAAATTTGATTATCATGTAATTCTAAAGGATTAATCTTCGACTTTTATCTAAATCGAAAGAGAAGTAAGTGTTAGTTGGCGGCTACATGTATGTTATAAATACTGCGGGATTGGAAGATACAATGTATAGGTTGTCGGTAGTATTTCTAGAAATTGCTGGTTGGCTTTAAGCAGAAAATTTTGAAAATTGCATTTGGAAGTCTGCGGAACAAATTCCAGTGAGAGTTCTTCAATGGTTCTCCCAGACTCACTTCGCTTGTTTCGGTTCAACAAAATCAACCCATCGTTTACATCCTTATTGTACCATTGACCGATCATCACCAGTAAATTATACAGTATATCTTTCTTTAAATCTGGAATATTGCTGTAGCAGCCGATAGCACTTCTGAAAGGCGTTGCTCCGCACTTTTCGAATGTGTATTGCACCATCCTAAAGGAAATGTCTCTATATATATTGCACGTAAAATACATCAAAATAAGTAGACTCTAGCAAGCATTTTCAGTGTTGATCCGAAAAATCTGTCGACCCATCAATATGTGTTCCAACAATAATAATAACAGCTTTATTGAAGTGTCAATGTATTTAGTATTAACTACTAATTGGGGACAAGCTTACAAGGGGTTTCTTTCCCTTTGTTATCTTTTCAATCAGGAAGCAAAAGTGTAAACAAAAGACAGGGTAAAAATCATTCAAGCTTTGAAAATCAAGTATTTGAGAATTTCTTTCCAAGTTTATGTGCATTTCACATCCCACTAAGAGTTCAGATCAAATGAAATTACAATATTACACAATGGTGCCGATGTTTGTCCTGTTTCCAATAGCTGTTTCGTTCATTAAAAGTTGTTCGTTTCGCTCATATAAGTTCATTAAGGTCGAGGAATAAGACACATTCTCATCAAAGCTTACCACATCAGCATGAGATTTAATCATTCTTAGGTCACTTTCCAGCAAACAAATGCACATCTCCTGGTCATTTTGAACGCCTGGACGACTCAAATGCTCATGAAATTCAGCCTTCAAGTTTGCCATAGTGCTAATTCGAACATTCGAAGTCAACTCCACTTCAATTTAGCGAAACACCTAATATTAATTGTCGTGTAAAAGCTACAAAATCATCAATATTCGGGCTGGCGCAATGCCTGCACGCATTGAGTAGTAGTCTCGAACTGACTGGACGGTTACTATTCCAATATGGCGGCGGGCTCGGTTACTATTCCAATATGGCGTCGGGCTCGGTTACTATTCCAAYATGGCGTCGGACTCGGGCGCTCTCATTCGGGCCGACTAATTACGAACAGTGTCTACACCTGAGTGAGTGAGTGACACATTTGCATATCGGAGTCTCCACAACAAACACGTTTCTACGCTTCCCGTAACCACGAGTTTAAAAAGGATCTTCGCAATTAATGTTGAACGTAAGCTCACAAAGTTGCTTTAATTTCAGTACAAATATGTGTTAAATAATAGAAATTGCGAACTCGGTAGAATGAAAAACATATGGATATTCCTCATCAACTTATGACTGCTTTGCATTTTCCTGCTTGTTTAATTTGTGGAACGTATTTACCCCGCTGTCTGGGAAGCTGTTATTATCTTTTTAGTCGTCACGTCAAGTGACAAAAATAACTTAGAAGTTTTATGGTACTGCTTAGCCACATCGACGTTGTTAATCTATATCTATAAGAGTGTATTGCACATGGCTTCCTCTTGCATTGCTTAATTGATTCACAGATAAGAGGCGCATAAGATGTGAAAGACCTAGTTGTCATCAGTTCACGATGTCTTATTTGAATACGCAAGAATTCTCAGGTAAATAAGCAGATGTTGTACAAAAAGATATGCAGAAGAGTTTTTGGTGGAAAATTTCACTCAAAAATAAATTTCCCCACAAAGTTGTAAGATACTCGAGGGGCATTAATTGTCTGGAAAACCCGAATAGCGAATAGCGAATAGCGAATAGTCGCGAACAGCGAACAGTGAATAGTCCCCAACAGCGAATAGCGAATAGTACGAATAATGCGAATAGTCTCGAATAGTGCGAATAGTAGCGAACAGTCTCAAATAGTGGCAAATAGTGGCAAATCGTAGCAAATAGGTTACCCAGTATCTCGCAGTCAACCTCGGAGCAACGTAGGATGGGATTTTCCCGCTAAAAAGCACAGACGCTTATCAGGACAAAAGGTGTTTCTAAACGTAATTTCTTCTGAGTGTTTTAACCACTGCAAAAGCGTAAATATGTCTTTATTAGGTTATCCTGGTGTTCTCTGTTCAAGTCTTAATGTCGGCGATGGACAGCCCTATCCTGAGTCCGGAGAAAAGGTAATAAATTCACTGAAATTCTGTTGCTTATTTGGATAATTAATTAACGCAGGATATTAGATCAGGGATGACTATTGACGACTATTGGTCGCTATTCGCCACTTTTCGCGACAATTCGCACTATTCAGGACTATTCGCTATTCGCTATTCGGGGCTATTCGCTATTCGGGGCTATTCGCTATTCACTATTCGCGACTATTCGCTATTCGCTATTCGGGTTTTCCAGACACCGTAAAAATTTCCACATAGTGCATGGATAGTCTCTTAAACAAGCTGCTTTAAGTGATTTGTCGATTACATTTAGCCGTGAGGTTATCGGCGACAAACGACACAAAACTACTTGTTTTCAATTGAAATCTACACTGAATAACTTCGACAAAGAAACTCATGCAAGTGCTACCGTTAAAATAAGCGAAATATGACTTAAACAATTAAATTTATAAAATTTCTTACAACATGGTTTCAAATCAGGAAGACCTTACAACTCCTTTTGAAGATATCTCGCAACAGCCACTTGACAAGAGCCTTCAGAAGTTTAAGGAAACTCGACGACGGTTTCTACAACAAAAATCATAAAACGCATGCTTTTAAAATGTTTCAGATCACCGCTGTTTGTTTTATATTTTTAATCAAGCTACGATGGCCAAAGACCAAGAGTTAATATATTACGATTATGATTATAATTATGATTACTATTGTGACAGGAGCCATAATCGGGGACGGAGACCGTAAGCGCGCGCCGTTTCTAGTATTGGGGCTGTCCCAGTGATATGGGACAATTTTTCTATTTTTTATTGGGGCTGTCCCAATGATATGGGACAATTTTTCTAATTTTAGAACAAATTGCGCCATCCCGTGCGGCACACGCGGATATAGCAGCGTTTCAGGACTTCAAAGTTTCTCTCCTCTTGCAACACGCTTGCGAGGATTTCGCCAGAGTCTATGTCGACCGAAAAGTAAAAAAAATTATTGTAAGTTTGAGTTTCGCCTGAATTGTAAGTAACGCTGGATGTTTTATCAAGGCCCAATAAGTGACAATAAAGTTTATGTCTGTAGATGCTGCTCAGTTTTGTTTGTGTAAAAAATCCAATAAATTGTCTGTTGTCGATGAATAAGAGCGCCCGCCGATGCGTGTTTTGTACAGTCAGAAAAACACGACAAATTGGACTTCCCCACTTTCGTGCGAAAACGTACATCGAACTCATATAATATCTCTAGTTTTTAAATATGTTTAAGGTTGATAAATGTTTGAGAACATATTAAAAACAGCTGAAAATATGTGAATACAGCAGAAATAATCAGCAAAGTTACGATGACGCTTTTTTCAATCAACTCGAATATAAACGATTTCGATTTTGTTGGTTGGGTTATCAAAACTCCTTGTCTATTTTATTTTCGCAGTGTAAAATTTCACTATATTAAAGATACACACATGATGTTAGTAGCCTTTTGGCCTTGGTGAAAATTGCTGCAGCATCTCAGCACAAAAGACAACGAAAGAAATCTTTCTCAAGATTTGTTGACAATTGAAAACACCGACTCGGATTTGAAAGTGCACGCGCTGAACTATGCAAATGAGCTACTTGTACGCGTCAGACTTTCCTTTCAAAACCTTTTACAAACTCGCCAAACAAACAGAAACAATAAGAAACTATCAAAAACATGGTTTGGTTATGATTAAGCATTGTTTGGCAAACTCACAAATTAACTCGATACCAGAGTAAAGAGTTTTCTTACATAACTTTTCTTTACAGAACAAACGCAAAATCTAATTAC